AGAGTTCTTACTGAATTTCTGAGAGGACACAGTTCATTCCAAATCTATTCCTGTTTTATTTTTAGCACTATGACTCCTCTGACTGAGAAGCCCAGAGGAGACAGAAAGGTGGGGCAGGGGGAATCGAGGGCAGAAATTGACCGATTTTCTGTTTCTGCAAGTCTGGACTGTGAAGCTGATTATAACAAGTTTCTAGTCATTTGGTAATGCCATTTGGTACTTTATAATGCTGTTTGCTTTCGTAAAGTGAAAATAATCATGACAGAAGAATGAAGTTTAATTTGGATTGGGTGGCTAATAATGATAAGTGAGACTTTGGTGTCTTGTTACTCTGAAATAATTTGATTATTATAATTAAGGAAGAAATATAGAAGAATAAACTCTCCAAATTGATGTCTTAGGTCAAATTGGCCTATTAAGAGGAAGATGAAACTAAGCCTTTCAGCATTTCACCTCTGCATAATTGGCAGGGCACTCTGTACTCTCTCTTTGGCTACTCAGCAAAGATTTGCTAGAATCTGCTTGTGTAATCCACTTTCACAATCCATAACCTTCACATTGTATGTGTGTGAGACTATGTTGTAGCTCCCTTTCCATTATTCCTATTTATTAAGAAATAATAGTAAGATCTAAATGATCTAATATAGAAATCCTACTTTGATCTTGTAAATATTGTATATATGTTATTAAAACAATCTTTCTACTAGTGCCAATAAAATTGTATGTGTATAGATAGAGATAGATGACATAATTCAAAGCAACACAATTTGAGAATTTATTAAATTTAATGGTAAATCAAATCATGGTTGTTAGCATCCATTCAAATCAAAAGAGATACAATAAAATGGGCCTGTGAGATGGCACAGAAGATAAAGGTGCTTGCCATAACAGTCTGGGGTCCTGGGTTCAATTCTTGATCTAATATAGAAATCCTACTTTGATCTTGTAAATATTGTATATATGTTTTTAAAACAATCTTTCTACTAGTGCCAATAAAATTGTATGTATATAGATAGAGATAGATGACATAATTCAAAGCAACACAATTTGTGAATTTATTAAATTTAATGGTAAATCAAATCATGGTTGTTAGCATCCCTTCAAATCAAAAGAGATACAATAAAATGAGCCTGTGAGATGGCACAGAAGGTAAAGGTGCTTGCCATAACAGTCTGGGGTCCTGGGTTCAATTCTCGGAACTCTCACAAAGGTAGAAAGAGAGAACCTATTCTATAAAGTCGCCCTGTGACTGCCACATGCATGCTGTGTCATGCACATAATTGTACACGCATGCACACCACACACACAAACACACACACACGCACGCACGCACGCACGCACGCACGCACGCACTGCGCGCACATAAGTCACTCCATAAAGGCACACAATCTAATAATAATTAAAAGCAAAAAGTAAAACAATGGGTTGAAATGATATTTATAGCATATGAAATTCTAATACTTTAGGTCTGAATTCTAGAGGCACACACACACACACACACACACACACACACACACACGTGCGCACACATAAGTCACTCCATAAAGGCACACAAACTAATAATAATTAAAAGCAAAAAGTAAAACAATGGGTTGAAATGATATTTATAGCATATGAAATTCTAATACTTTAGGTCTGAATTCTAGAGGCATTTTACTGTGGGCCCCTCATATTCTGACTACATTCTGTTTTACTCTATGAATGAAAATCTCAGTTTGTGAGTCAAGTCACTTCATCGTGAAATTGGGTCTATCTATCACTTAATTGATCTATCACCCAAATTAGGTGTGTTGGTCCCCATACGTGGCCAGGATTGTTTCTGATAGTTCCAAATACAGTAAATTCACAGCCATGAATGGATTTGATAACTATGATATAATCCCCGGTCATTTTGGGTTTTCTTTTCTAATCTGCAGTTTATAATGAAACAGAGCTGAGACTCCCACACACTGCAGAGTGCTCTGG